TAATTGAATTGAGTTATGTTAAGTGAATGCAATAACTGAAAACAAAAAGTTCCAAAATAGTGATTTCAAGCATTATTTAAGGATGCGTATGAATTTAGTAAATGCTTTTGTACAAATAGGTCGTTGTAACTAATGACTAGTATTGCATTAAGGTTATCGTGGGTCTTAGACACCAGTTAAGTAGATGACGATGTAAGGAGTTTTCGAGTGTCGGAATATTAGCAACTTAACAACAAAATGAGTATTCTTGAATTCTAATTTAAATATTTATTGTGGTAAACAAATAAGTCTTGTGGGTCCCAAAAAAAACTACGTAATACTAATTTAATTGAGCTATGTTATTTGAATGCAATAACTGAAAAAAGGTTCAAAAATAGTGATTTCAAGTATTATTTCAGGATGTGTATGAATTTAGTAAATGCTTCTGTACAATTAGTTATAAATCGATTTAATATTGATGTGATGTGAACTGAGAAAACGAGTTGCGCCTCTCTCGATATCCAAGAATTTTTACGATGGTGAAAATCGAAAGTAGATCAAGCGAAGAATTCACTTTTGGTTTCGATAAATTGTCTTATGGTGCAAAGAGGATCTAAAGCAAGCGTAAGAGGATTCACTCGCTCTGTATGTCACGGATTTCTTGATGTCAACGTAATCGCTAATTGCTTCTACATCAGACGTTTGCGAAATTGCAAACAGTGATTTTTAGATCATTACCATTTACGCAGTATTCATTGGATTTTTATTCATGAGATAAATATTGGTCGTACCATACCGTCAACTAATTGATTATACTTGAACAATAGTTTTACAGCAATCCAGGATTCACAGTTATTTTGTTTATAAAGAATTTATTTATAACTGAATGACTTCATTTTGAGGCAATAAAGAAATTATCGTATCTTTAACAATACTATTATTGATTGCGTGCGATCAAAAAATCTTCGCGTATTCAACCTTCCCACTAGCGTTACAATCATCCATCATAGCGCTGGTTAAATAATCGATCAGCAATCAATAAACAATTGATTTGTTAATTTCAGTAGTGACAACAAAACACATACATCTGTTGCTTCTAATTAGGCTACAAATATTTGAAGGTTATTTATTTGAAGTTGAAAATTATATTAAAACAATTTACGAAAGTTAAGATTTATCAGTAATTTGCATCAAACTAAATTAGGTTGTTTATTTTCCAAAATTGACTATAACTAATATACTGTGAATTCGAAGAATCTGATCTAATTTTTGCAAACTTTCATAAAATTGTATCAAAGATGTTTCATAGGTTGATGTAGCCATTCTTTTCCGCATTCCTTTTAATTATTACGACAATTGTCCAATTAGTGTTAGTGTATGAATTAAGAAAGAATTTAAACATTTGCGGAAGATATCACGAAAAGGAAAAGAAACCAAGTGACGCACGCACACACAATTCTTCTTTAAAGCACAATGAGAAGATTTCTAAAAAACATGTGTATTATATATATATGAAAAGAAAAAAAACTTGATAATGACATTCCTGTGTAACATTTATATAATGCCGGTAATGGACTTAATAATTCCTCGCTCAACTAATTAATAACACATATCTTTTTTACAACGTTTTTATTAATATATTCTTCCAACTCTTCCTGATTCGAAGTCGTCTTTCACGTTTGGCGCTAATGAAGAAGCACTTTATTGTGTTATAGAGAGTGAGAGAGAGATGTTTTGAAGACCTTTTGACATTTTAACCTTTAACATCTCAATCAGATCCCCATTCGGGGTCTCCTTTTGTTCGCTGAGATTATTTATATAATCAGGAACTTTAAATATCAACCATTAGCATATCGGGTTTAATAGAAAACCTTTCCAAATAGCAACAACGTACATAACCAGAATTGATGCGCTAGAGGAATCGAACAAATTAGTTCCTGAACTTAATTATTATGTTGTGGACAACATCCTCGTCGCATCTTTATATGGACATCCGCGCTTTCATCGAGAGAATCCGTTTTCTGCGGTCATAAAAAATGCATTTTTTTATGGTAGGAAAAGAATGCTGAGCATTTGTCGCTATGCGAGAACAGGAAGTCTGATTTAACAGCCAAAAATAAGACAAATGAAACAAGAGTCTTTTGAAAGACCAAGAGCACCAGACGACCTCGTCAACTTGTTTCAGTGAAAAATTAGTCTTTATAAATATTTATTTTCATTATTTTTATAAGAATTTTTTGCACCAAACAAAAATAAATTAATCTAGCTGCAAAAATATCTCAGAATAATTGGTAAATAAAAAATAGTTTGAAAATTATACTTATTTTTCTGTCAAAACACTAAAACCATACATGTAGAAAATATACATTATTCAAAAGTAAAAGCAAGATCATTGCTTCTTGTATAATGATATATCAGTGAAACATCATAAACAATCTTGTCGTCAAAAAATTATAATAAAGTTGTTTTTATTTTAATAATTCTTATTGAAATGTCGGAGGGTCACATGAGTTACGTAAAAAATAAAGTTAAGCAAAAAAAAAAATTACAAAAAATTAATATATTTTCTTCTCTATTGAATTAAATAAGGACTGTAAATTAAATTAAATGTGTATAATATGCAGACAGGTTTCGGCCTTGTGAAACTTTGAGCATAAAATTTGATCAAAGTCGATACGATTATGCAATTATTGATTTTTAGTATTTGTGTGAAATATCGCAAGCAAAGAAATTGCACGTTTGCAAATCGCGAACAAACCGCGTTGATGTTTTACTTACTTCACAACAAAGGTAGGATTACGTAAAAGCAAGGAAAAAAAAATAGTGCAATTCAGTGCAGAATTGTCTCTTTATTTCTTGTAATACGTGTGTATAAAAAAAAGCAGAGTTTGCGTGAAGATTCGTATAAAGAGATTGGATTATAATACGCTATAGTGACATAATCTGAGAACAATCGCAGGGGAAAAGCGTGCAAATGGAAACGCACACTGATTTCGCGCAATTTTATGCACTTTCGGCTTTGAAACGATCGACTCCGGTTACCGATCACGTAACGCTTATATCAGAGACTCATTTTTTATTGATTGCAGTTATTCTAAGACATTTCGCGTAAAATTTTCTTACTATTATCTGAAGAGTCAACGTTTTCTTTAATAAAAAAATGCAGTTTTTTGGCAAATATATTAAATATTTGTTTAATAATTTACATCGTAACAGACCAATTACATGATGTTCTCCAAAAGTGTGGATGGTCATAGTAATTTACCCTTATTCGGACAAACGGCGGATATATCCGCCCTATCATTTGCTTGTACAAAATTGTACAGACTGAAAACTCTTGTTGTCTCCTTCCAATATTTTGTTCCGATTTTAATAATTAATATAACTATTATAAATCGCAGTTATATTTTATTCGCGGAAATTGGCAATGCAAATTACGACGATGTTTTCGTGCGTCACAATTATGCGTGCACACACACACAATGGAAACAACATGAGGTTGCCGTTTGTATAATTTTCTAATTAACATTATCAGATTGATGGCCGAAAGGATACTTAATTGATACGCAGTTAATTATGATACGCGCATATCTTACACCTTTAGAAGGAAGAATAGATTATTTGTATTTGAAGCGTCGCTCGGAAAATGCTATTAAGAATTCGCCAAATGTAATTACTTTATGTTTTAAAGCAAGAAAATATTTCAATATTTGTATATAAATTTTACGGATTGCGGCGAATATATCCGCCTTATCCTCTACACAGGAGACTTCGCTTATGCAAGGTTACTGTGATGGCGCTGTCATCGAAATTAAGTTCTAAGTGTTTCAGACAGAACCGTAACAGGTTTGACGTTAGTTCTGTATTTATAATTAATAAGAACATAAATGTCACTTAGACGTATTAACTTTTTCGTATACAAGTCTAGACGTTAATTGAACGCAACAATATATTTCAATGTTGTCTTTGATTAAATATCTCGAAGATACAATTCACAAACGAGATTTCTAAACTTTTGAGCCTGGAGCGTTTTGAGAAACAGGAAATTGAAATAGGTAAGTTAAATTGAATCTATAATATGTAATTAATTCAAATGAATTCCACCCATCTCAAAACGCAAAGATTTTTCCTTGGCGTTCGTTCTCCCAAATTTAGTTTGTAATTTACAAATCGACGAGTATTAGAAGTAGAAATTATTCGCATCGCAGGTCAATGGTCTTCCGTTTGTTTCTGTGTTTACATAAGAGATTTTAGATAGTGTATTCGATGAGAAGCATATCTGCTATAATAGAAACGCCAAATTAGGGAATATTATCTAAGAATAGAACGGAGACTGGCATCTCGTACATAATGTTTGGCAGCTTTTGAAAGTTCACTATAAAGTGTGCCACGATTCGAACAACTAAAAAAATGAAGAAGATTTAACGAGTTTAGACAATATACCTTCACTTAATACACATGACTGAAGATTTCTGGTTTAATTAATACTTATAATTTCCGCAATAAATACTTAATAATAACCAATTTATTGTAAATAGAAATTATTGCTATTATTATATGTTTTTTTTTACATTTAGATAATAAATATTATTTTGAGTTAATAAATCAACACAAATTATAGTGAAATAAATTTTATGTTCTCAAAAATACATAATAGATGGTGTATGACAGTTCAAAGCATTATCTCTGAAATAAATGTTGCTATAATAATAGGATTTTCTGACACAAGCTGTGTGTTGTTGGGGAAGCAGTGGATGCCTTCCCATTGAAGAATAATAGGATTTTCTGGTGATTTTTATTTTATTGGTAAATTTATTAATCTAAATATGATGAAAAGCGGTACTAAAAATTGTGAGTTCCTTTGGTTGAGGACAATACCGAATTGTTGGTAACAAGCGAGCGTAACATGCGGCACGCTTTTGGTTTGCTCGCATATGAAATGGCATCTCTCTTTTATGCTCAGGCAATTACCGTGCGCATAAGAGGTTGGCAATAAAGATCGAAAGTGTTTCTGTACTTACGTCATACGCGCACGCGCCCAGCACGCACACAGCGAACAAAAGTAAGACTCGGCTCGCCATCCTCTCTTATCCTGATCTGAAACAAACGAATGTCCTTTAATGTTGCATATTAAGGTGAAACCAAATGTTGGCCAACTTCAGCATCCTTACAAACATCATTACCAACATCATCATCATCATTACCATCGTGATTACCACCTCTGTTCTCGTTTTGCTTTATTTTCATTTCTGCATTCGAAAAACAAAAAGTGAAAGCATCTACGTAACTACACGGATTACAACAAAAAAAAAGCACAAAAATAATCGTAAATTGGACACAAAGCAATATTCACAAAACCTACGCTCATTAAATGCATATTGGAAAATTGCATTACGTTTTATTGATTTGTTTGATTGTAATTGCTTCTTGGCTCAATGGAAGTGCGCGCGTTTAATTGGATTTTAAGTCAAATCACGGAGCGTAATGTTTTATTATCTCTTTACAGGAAAGTGGAAATGTTTGCTTATTGATTGCTATGCATTAGTGATGAACGGCAATGGCGCTGCTTTAGACAATAGCTTCCATTATATACAACATACAAATTACACACACTTACCAATACTAATATACCTTATGTTTTTTTTGTACACACAAAGATAATAATCAAGAATATAAACAGTCAAGTGTATTTAAACTCACTGTTTCCGCAAATTATACACATGCATCAAAGATTATATAGTATATAGATGCAATTAGTTCTCTCCGAAACATTTCACTACATAATATTTCATTAACGATGTTCATTCATGTTATATTTTCTGAACATGATAATACCAATCTAAGGTTAAAAATATAACAATTAGAACTTCTTGTTTATACAATAATTCAAAATTCATCATCGCAAATTATTTGTTTCACAGTTATATTGAATTGTTAAAGAATAAAGGTTTATGCAGTAACCATATTCAATAATGAAAAAAAACTTCAATTCTTGTTACTTCTTACAAATTACTACATCAGTTGCAATAACTGAAAAGGTTTCAACATCAGTTCAAATGGATTTTTATAGTTTCCATAGTTCTGACGAAATGTAAATCCGGATTGTTGAAACATCCACTTCTATTTTATTATTGTGCCTACTTAAAACAAACATGTTGAAAATTTAATTAATATTTTGATATCATTAAAAAAATAACAATTAAAAACACAATAATCGACAATTGAATTTAGATCAAGATTAATTGTGCATAAAATGTTACAAAATACTTTTTGATATTTAAAACTATTGTGAATTAGATCAAATTATCAAATATTTTAACAAAATTCACTAATCTAAGTAACTTTTTTTTAAATAAATATACAATTCTTATACAATATCTGTTCTATATACCTAACTGTGTAATTGATAATGTATGTTTAATATAAATTGTACATATATTTTCGACTTCAAGTGTAAAAAAGTTCATAGATTTAAACATATACGGGCTGCGGCGGATATATCCGCCATATCCTTTACAAAGAAGACATCGCTTTTGCAAAACAGTTGAATATGCGATTTTGAGAAATATCCATCCGCAAAGGGATAATATATCTATAACAATTGTGGGTTAGAAATACTGGAGTAGATTTGTATAAAAAGTATGTATATGTAAGTAATAAATAGTATGTGTTGAAACTGTGTAAAATGTTAGGCAATGAGAAACTAAAGTAGGTTAGTAATCTGGCAGATCCCTTTAAGGCGTGAGCAATATTGGAAGGAACATACATGAACATTAAATAAATATTGATAGAGTCGTGAGAACCAATCTAGTCTAGCTATACTAAAACACTAGCAGCACCTTGCCGAGAATGTGAAATTGCCATTGCATTCACGCAGAATGGTCATCGAGAGTTATCGTGTTGAGAGAAAAGATTTACTTCCGGTAGACACGCGTTCTTTATATACACACACACGTAAATAGTGAACGGAGAAAGGGAAGGCAAGCAAGCAACAAGCAGGCAGGCAGGCAGTCGACTAGAGTTGTGTTCTCTTTTAGGCTAACTTCGAGTGAATTGGTGCGTGGCCATTTGAAATGTATAATATCCACGTTACACTATCCAATTATAACCAAGAAAGAAACAGAAGCAAAAGCAAACGGAAAATAAAAAAATTAAACAAGAAGAAAATGGCGAGAATAAATCGCAACGCGGTAGTAAACCGTTCGAAAAGTCATGTTTGCATTGGGACAGTTTACCCGAACGATAACAATTTTCACTATTACATCGCAACTTCACCACCATTCTCCACCTGCGAAATCTTACAACAATATAAATGTTAATTGAATTCTATTTTATTTCCTGAACTTCCGTTACCAATTCTGCAATTACCTAAGATCACTATCGTTCATCTATGTTTGCAATCAATATTTCCGCAACACAATTGAAACCATCTACAAGCAGATTTTCTTTTATATATTTTCTCATACAAAAATTCTTCTTTCTTAAATTTGTCTTTGATTTATACACAAGAAATTGTTCATTCATATGCAATTTCAGGTTTCAAATATTTTTTTTAATTCCATATTTTTTTATACATTTTTTCTAATTTAATCTTAGCTATGTACATAAGACACGATTAACCCTTTGAATTGTCATGTCGTATATATTCGTCATGGTCTCTTGCATTGCGTAGCGCTTATGACGAATATATTCGCATTATGAATAATAAAATATGCTAGCGATAAAAATGCATGGCCACTAGGGGAGCCACTTCATAAAATACATCAAACAGATTAAGGGGTTAGTAATAAAAATAATTAATAAATTTCTTATTTATGTAATCTTCTAGTATTTTTTACTTTATTATTTATGCTACAAGATTTAGAAAAGAACGTTCGTTCTACCAGAGAACCATTCGACCTATTCGTCGTTTAACTTTTAAAAAATATCAAACTAGAATTGACTACACTCAATTAATACATAAAATCCTATGTAATTCAATAAAATAAACCTTATAATTAGAAGTATATTCGTGTTATGATACTTACGTATGTTAAGAATCAAAATTATCTAATTAACACCAAACTTCATCACGTACAGAGTTTATAATAATCAATTAAAATTGTTTGATAAAAATCACTTGACACTTGACAACTGACAAAGGCAACAAAATCATCGATTGCTATGATTTGAAAGTTCCGCTCGACATTAAAAAAAAAGAGACAAGAAAAGAAGAGATTGCGCAACGGAGAAATTACATATTATGTATACCTACAACAACCAAAATGTAAATCTCACCAAAAAAAAAATTATCTGAACGTATTTTTTTTTCTTCATCTAAAAGCAGAAAGTTTTGGCGGAAGAATGAAAGTTCCATCATCACGTTTAATATTTATATTCTTCTTCAATTCAGAAGTTCAAATTTTGATTTAAAAAAAAATAGAAGTTCTTTCATTTTGTTTCCCTCGTGAGTTTTGTGATTTAGAAACTCCGGTTAATCTCGCGTGTAAAATCGCACTGCCACAATGTGTGTCATTCAAATCAATGGCGCCACGCATTTTTATAAAAGTGAAACTCTCAAATGAATTTTGCTACATTCGTGTGTTGCCTGTGTGTGACTCAATGAAATGACACCAAGCGTCTTGCAAGAGGAAGAAGAAAAAAAAAAGTAATAATGTTGTTACTATAATTATTGCTTGAAAAGAAGGATGCGTTTAGTCTTAACCAACAGAATGTTTACTTCATATTTCCGTTTCTTTCTATTGGTTAATAGACAACATCAAACTGAGAATGAGTGCTTATTATTTCTCTTTGTTACGCAAAATGCTAATTATGCGTAGTCTCCTAAATTATTTTTGTTTTTCATGCAGCGGTGGTTTTATGCAATTTAGTTAATAATTATTATTTTGTAATCAATCAGTTTTAACAGTGAAATTCCATTTCGAATCCAATCACGAGATTGATTAAATTTGTCGACACCGAAATGGTATTGTATTTATGAATGTTATCAATGTGGAATGTCAATAAGGCGAAGCAAGGCGTGAATCGTAATTTAAAAGTGTTTATTGTCTATGCATTCTAATTATACACAACCATAAAATATCATCGACTTTTTCTACAGCGTAGCTCAACTTTTTCAAAGAATTCTTCACTCTGTAAGATTTTCTCAATATTTTTTTATGTAGAAGTTATCATCAAAGTATAATATATAAAATAATAATTACATAATTCATACAAATGTTTCAGATATAGCCCATAAAACTTAGTTTTATTCATAATTTAATGTACAAGCTACAGCGAAACGAAACGTCATTTTTTATTAAGAATTAATAAAAGAGCTTTTGAAGTTGTGCAACATTCATCATATTCACCTGATTTTACACCTTCAGACTATCACCTTTTTAAGAACATTTGCTTCGCGAAAAATATTACGAAAGTTGTACTAAAAAATGCCTGTTTTTGTCGCTTTAACAAAAATTGTCATTTATTTCCTCTATATTTAATAAAATTTATTTATTTCAGTCATAGAAAAACAGTAATAAATTTCCCTGATTTGACAAAAAAATGCAATTAAATTAATATTAAATTAATTTAATAATTATTCAACTAATTTAACATGAATATAAGACTTTATTCATTTTATTGAATCACAAATTCTTCGTATTCTTATGTCTTATATGTAATAAAGTTGTAAAATTTCTATTTTCCTTTAAACATTCGACCATAATAGGATTAAACAAAAAAAAAAAATAAACGTATGTGTTTGTATGTGTGTGTATATATACAGAAAGAAAAATCGTTGTTAATACTTTTCGAAAGTTTCACAAATCTTAGCCTTCCGATAACGCACCTGTCGCATTTGGTGTTTCATCTCCTCCGCTAAATATATATATTTTTTTTTCTCGTAGAAAGTGAGAATTGACATTCACACGAGAGCGCATTTTAAATGCAGACATTTATTCCCAATTTGAGAGATTTCAGAAAAGTTCCGCTTCGAAACGACTGTTAATTAATCAAAATTGCATCGGTTAACGAATAACGATGTTGGGAAATGCGCCAATTGCTAAAAGGGAGCAAAATATGAGCGCCGGTCAAAAACAAAGTGAACGTAACGCGCG